GAAAGTCATAAAATCAAAATAATATACACCATAGTAACATGGACCACGTTGGTAATCAAATCTTAAGTTGACTTGTTATTAAATAAATGTTTTTCCTTCTATTCATCTTTTAAAAAGAATATCACATGTGTATCTATTTACTTCAATAATAAGTTCAAAAATTCTTCTTTTATATTTTTAAATTTCACGTAAAAATTAAACCAAAACATGTAAAATATAAAAATAAAAAAAAAATTAATTTGCGATCGGTCAAAGTCTAGAGATGGGCAATGGGGTGGTGGCGGATTGAACTCAACCTGCAAAAATTTTAACTCATATAAAGTCGCATCCCCTAAAACTACTCGCCCCGTCGCATTGTCATCCCAGATCTAATTCAGGTACGTTTATTAATTTACAAACTAAATCTCATAAAATAAAAGATATTCCAATAGAGAGTATTGCTTACACGATCGTTTTTGTTTATAATATATATTGATTATAATCTAGAACACCATATTATAATATACACCATGTTAGTCATGCTCACAATTAATAATATGCAATAATACACTATAAATAGATTATCATCCTATAGATATTTTCATTCTAACACAAAAACCATAAATTGATAATGGATGTGAAGAACAACACCATTAATGTAGTTATGTTACCATGGATAGCCCATGGTCACATAAGTCCATTTTTAGAACTAGCCAAAAAGCTCTCCAAAAGAAATTTTCATATTTACTTATGTTCCACTCCAATAAACCTAAGTTCCATCAAGAAAAATATCACAAAAGAATACTCTCAATCAATAGAGTTAGTTGAGCTTCATCTTCCATCATCACCTAATTTTCCTCCACATTACCACACCACCAATGGCCTCCCACACCATCTCAAAGAGACACTAGTCGAAGCATTTTTTAGCGCGGGTCCTGCATTTTCAAAGATACTACAAACTCTTAATCCTGACTTAGTCATATACGACTTAAACATTACGTGGGTTGCTGAGTTGGCGTCCTCTATAAACATTCCTGCCGTGCAATTCCTCACATTTAGCATTGGTATGATTGTTTTGTTCCTCCACATGTTTAGTAAGCCTGGAGTTGAGTTTCCATTTCCTGAGATTTACCTGCGTGAACATGAGGTGATTCCAATGCAAAAACTTGCAAAGGGGTACTCGAACATTAATATCAAAGACACTTTCATGGAGTCTATAAGGCAATCGCGTGACATTATACTAGTGAAGGATTTTGAAGTGAAATATATGGATTATTTCTCTCAATTAGTTTCCAAGAAAATCGTTCCGATTGGTTCTCTAGTTAATAATTCCATTGATCAAATAGATGAGCATGCTTTGTCCATCACCCAATGGCTTGACAAGAAAGAAAAAGGTTCAAGTGTGTTTGTGTCATTTGGGAGTGAGTGGTTTCTATCAAAAGAAGAAATCCATCAAGTAGCACAAGGGCTAGAGCTTAGTAAAGTCAACTTTGTTTGGGTTATTAGGTTTCCACAAGATGAGAAAATTAGTATTGATGATGTATTACCACAAGGGTTTTTAGAAAGGGTAGGGGAAAGAGGAATGGTTTTGGATAAGTGGGCTCCACAATCCACTATTCTACAACACAAGAGCATCGGTGGTTTCGTGAGTCACTGTGGATGGGGTTCGATAACAGAGAGTATGAAATTTGGCGTGCCTATAATTGCAATGCCTATTTACAATGATCAACCAATCAATGCTAGGATTGTGGAACATATTGGTGTGGGAGTTGAAGCATTGAGGGATGAGAATGGGAAGTTACAAAGTGAAGAAATTGCAAAAGCTATAAGGGAAGTGGTGATTGAAGAAAGTGGTGAAGGTTTGAGGAAGAAAGCTAAAGAATTGAGTGAGAAAATGGAGATGAAAGGGGATGAAGAGATAGATGGAGTGGTAAAGGAGTTGATTGCACTTTGCAACAACAAATGATTTATTCATTTTGATACATTTTAATTCATGTAACTTTTTTTTTTTGGTTGGTCATATGCTTGTGATATTGTCTACTTGATTGTATTTTTATTATGTGTTTGATATTTATATCGAATATTTATTAAATTGTATTCACATTCTATAAGGTCTTTTAAGAAAAGAAGTGTTTGAGTCATCCTCTACATGGTTATGTGTGCGTGTGTTATTAAAGAAAGTTAGATTCTTACTAAATGTCAAAAGATATTCTTAGTTTGTCTGGCCAAGAAATTTAAGAAAGTGATTTATTTATTTTTGTATTTGTGGTTTTATATCAATGATGTGTATAATGTATCAAATTGTCATACAACTTGTAATTTTAATCATGTCATGTAGAATATTTACAACTTCAATCTAATATAATATACATATGCAATATTTATCGTCTATTTAATTTGTTCTTAGGTAAACAATTTTTTTATATATGTTAGTTTCTCAATGCAGAGTTGGCAAAATATTTTTTTCTCAATCGATAACAAGTGTGTGTAAGTAAACTCAACGTCGATACAGATTAGGATTGTGATGGAGTGGTAAGTACTCCTTTGTCCTTAATCAAGATCAAGATCTCATGTTTGTGTCACCTTGGATACAGAGTCGCCTTTGTTAGAGAGTCGTTTACCTCCAATGTATGACTTCCCGACGCGAATCCAAATTTAGTCATCAATGTCCGATATGTGTTTGAATACATAATAAGTGATTATATAAATAGATAAATTAAGAGTTTGAATTCAAATAGATAAATAAACCAATGGATAGTAATAAGATCAATCTCATCTTATTATTACTTCTTACAAAGTTGAATCAACTCTTTAGCAGCTGTATCCATCTCTTCATTTCCTATAGTTTTCAAATTTTTGCTAACATCTCTAACTTTTGCTCTCAAATTCCCCCTTGTTACTACACCTTTAAGAGTTTCCGCGATTTCTTCTCTGTGAATTTTCCCATCATCATCTCTAACAATCTCCACCGCGACTCCCGATTCTACCATCAACTTAGCATTCATTGGTTGATCAAGATGTATAGGCATTGCTATTATAGGAACCCCAAAATCTAAACATTCAATCACATTATGCCAACCACAAGGACTTACGAATCCACCAATACTCGAATGATTCAAAATTCTTGATCGTAACACACATTTGTCCAAAACACTTCCCCTTTCTCCAATTCTTTCAAAAAATCCTTTCGGCAATACATCTTCAAGATTTCGCGTTTCCCTTTCTGGAAATCTCACAACCCATACGAAATTAACATTACTTAACTCCAACCCGAAAGCTAACTCCTCCGCTTCTTCTTTTGACAAGATATACTCATTCCCAAATGACACAAGAATAGTTGAACCCTCGTCTTTCGTTCCTAGCCAATCAATAACCTCCACGTCATTAGTTACGCGATTTTTGATTGGTAAACCAACAGGAATGACTTTCCAATTGCTCAATTTAGTGAAATAATCAATATATTTACCCTCTATAGTTCTAGAGGTACTCATCAACATAACTTGTATATTTCCTTCAGCAAAAGCGTCTTCATACTTTTCAATTCTAGAAGATTCCGCGATCAATTCATTCAGTTTCATTAGCTCATTTTGTCCAGGATAAATATCGTGAAAAGGGAATTCAACCTCGGGTTTTCTAATCGTAGTATAAAAGTATGAAAACACCGCTGCACCCATAACTACGAATTTCATTGCTAGAATCCCCTGTTTCTTCGCTACGCCTTCAGCCCATTGTAATAATAAGTCGTAAATAACCAAATCAGGTTTCAGTTTTTGCAAGATTTTCGCAAAGTTGGATTTGGACAGTTTGAGTGTTTCTAGAACAATGTGATCTAGATCGACTGGGATTTCATTCGTAATAGGTTTAAATAGTTTTGGTAAACAAAGCTCAACCATCTTAATTGAAGCAGAGTATTTTTCAGGGATTTGTTTATTTATAGTATCGCAACTTATAATAGTAGAACAAACGCGGACAGAGAATCCTCTGTCCGCGAGTTTCATTGCTAAGTCGAGGAATGGAGAGATGTGTCCATAAGCTAACCACGGAAACATAAGTACCTTCAAAGCATTACGATGCTTTGGTGGTACTTTTGTAGACATGGAATTTTTTTTCCTAAAACAAAAATTCATGTTTTTTTTTTTTTGGAAGAGTGAAAAAAGGAAGAAAAATGAGAGGTTTTATAAGAAATAATTTAAGAGAAAACAATATTAAGGACAAAAATAATTTTGCTGAGATTTCAATGTATATATGTTGACTTTTACAATAAGAGAAACAAGAAATGCTTTGTAAAACACATCAATATGATTTATGAAACTACGTATTCGTAAAATACTAAGTTTTATAACTAGTCATATTTCGAAATAACTCAGTTGATTGATTGAGAGGGAGATCGTTTAGAGGCTACACCACATGGATGACCTGGGAAGATTGTTGAGTTAAATAGTTGAAAAGTTAGAATATTTTTATCTGTCTCAACTCTCTCTTTTTCGATATAGACACATTTATAGTGTTTCTAATTCAAGATATAATTACTCTCTTTTCCTTATATATAACATCAATGTCACTCGTAGTGTGAGATTAACTTATTTTTCGTGTAGCATTAATATTAATTGAATTTTGATTTAAGCATTATGAGTTACTAATATTTGTGGGCTATATATTTATTGAACCTACCCTACCTCAAGCACAAATGCTTTGTTTAGTTAAAAGAGATATTAATCGACAATCGCATATGAAAATAAAAATTTATATGAATATCAGACAACAAATATTTGATGAAAAAAAAAACATCATATGTCATGATTATATGTTGTGTGCATGCTTAATTAAATGGGAAAAGGGTCTGATATACCCCTCAACTTTATCATTTCGAGCTGATATATCCCTCCTTATAAAAGTGGCTCATATATGTCCTTACCGTTATACAAACGACTCACATATACCCCTACCATTACAAAATGGCTCACATATGACGGAAGTAAAAAAACTAGTTTTAAATTTATATTTGTTACTTCTAATTTTTTTAAAAAAATTATTTAGACGTATATATGATTCTTCTATCAAAGTTCAAGGTATATTTTAATTTTTTTCATACATAAATTATTTTTTGACTTGTTTTATTATAATTATTTGAGTTTCTTATTTTATTTTATTTTTTTCTTCATTCCTTAGTTTAAAGAAAAAAAATTTAAACTATTTTTTTCTGTATATTGTAATTTAATTTCGTATTCGAAGAAAAAATTTGGTCATCTACAATAAGTTTTACAAGAATATTAGTGAAACATAAATAAATTTGATTATCAAAATAATAATTATAAATTAGTCATTGAAATAAAAAAAAAGTCAAAAAAATATGTTTGACGAGGATTAAATTTACTCATATGGGATTATATTTTTTAGAAAAAAATAATAAAAATTTGGATTAAAATTATTATTTTTTTCATTTCCGTTAGAGGAAAAGGGTATATGTGAGCCATTTGTCTACAAGTAGGGGTATATATGAGTCACTTTTATAACGAGGGGTATATCAGCTCTAAATGACAAAGTTGAGGGGTATAGCAAACTAATAACCTAAAATAAATGAAGTAGCTAGAGTTTGATTTAATTGTGCTCCATAGCAAACGTTAGCCGAAGTTTATCAGACGCCTCTCTCGCCACTTTCCCATTCTCGCTCGCCACTCTCCCTCTGCTCGCCTCTCTCGCTTTATACACAGAAGTGTATAAATTCTGTTTCTGTTTTGTATAAACGAGTGAAAATTGTATATACACATGCAAAAACATATATCTTCGTGTTATACACTTAATTATACAATTTACAAACATTTTACTTCAATTCAATTGTAGACAAATGCAAATTTTATACAAATATTGCAGAGAAAAAGGCCAACGAATTATACAATTGCGAATTATAAAATTTTCTCTAGCTTTATACAACAAAAGTGTATATATTGTGTTTCTGTTTTTGTATAAAGCGATAAAACAACATATATCTAATTGCTATACACTTATAATTATGCAATATACATACATTTTAATTCGATTCAATTGTATGCAAAGCAAATTTTATAAAAATATTGAAGCAAAATAGGCAGCGAATTATACAATTGTGCATTATACAATTGCAGTGAAATAGGATTGCGAATTATACAATTGCAGCGAAATAGGCCAGCAAATTATACAATTTAGGCCAGCGAATTATACAATTGTATATGTATAACGAATTATACAATTTTATGTTTGCTATGGAGCGCAATTATGTAAACTTTGCTATAGCATACAAATATGAATTTTTTATTTGCTATATGTGAAAGTTGCCAAAGTATCTTAACTTATCCTTTTCTCATTAATTAAGTTGGCGTTTAATCATGTAATATCATATTACAATATGAAATTATGAGACAAAATTAACGTTCGGATATGTGATAATATGTTGATTTCATTTTGTAAGATGTGATTTCATATTCTTCAAAAATTGTGATATGAAAATTTCATATCATGATTTGAGATATTTTTAATATAAAAAATGATCCACAAGTTTATATTTTATTAAAACAACTCCACATTTATATCTATTAACCATTTATTTCATATGTAAATAAAGTTTATAAACACATCATTATTTTTTTAAAATTTATTATTTTCACCAATAAATAGTCAGTTTAATTCACACTAACCGATTATTGAGTGATAAATTTATTCTCTTCATCTACCCCAACACCTAATTTCTTACTTCTATCGTTTTGTATTTAATACAATTCAAAGTAACAATGTTGGTTCGTCTTCTTGCACTATATCAAAAATGATCATAAGCTAAATATGTATTTTTAGCGGCAATTAATTAGCGCTCTTTATATATGTTCCTAAATCCTTTAGCGACATTGGTTCTGATGACATTTAACTAAGCCGGTAAAGACTTTAGCACTCTTTATTAATGTCTATATTTATTGTCGCTAAAAATGCTATTATGTCGGTCACATGATCAAGAAATGCAAGTTCAATGTGAGAAAATAGTCAATACTATGTGTGGGAGATTATATTAAAGACTAGTACACTACAATTTATGTTATTTTTCATATTTAATTAAATTTGACGAATTAAAGTTAGATGAAACACTTACTTAAGAAAAGAACAAATAATTTTATAATAATTTATCATGCGATTTTTATATATTCTTGTTTATTCGTTAAGATTGAATAAACAACTTGGCTATTTTAATAGTTTTACTACTTATGAAATTTTATATTTATGAGAAAATATATAATACAAAAATTTCATATTACATATCTAAATAATTTTTAATTTCATTTTATAATTTCATTTTATGATATCATATCAATATACGAGCCTTCGATAAAGAATTTTTAGCTTTTGACTACTAGTTCCTCTTCCTTATAATAATATATACTTTAGTTTCTTCTAGAAAGAGCAAGTAAAACACAAACAAAAGTTGAAAAAGTATTATGTTATAAATATGCATTATGTGGTTTCTACTGTTTATATCCATTGAAAAAACTACAAGATAAAGTCAAAATAATTATTTATATATAATATGTAATATAAGATAATAAATTTAAAATTATTTTTTTATTATCAATCAAATCAAAATTAAACACATCAAAATTAAACACATCATATGTAAATAAAGTTTATAAACACATCATTATTTTTTTAAAATTTATTATTTTTATCAATAAATAGTCATTTTAATTAACACTAACCGATTGTTGAGTAATAAATTTATTCTTTTCATCTGCCCCAACTACTAATTTATTACTTCTATCGCTTTGTATTTAATACAATTCAAAGTAACAATGTTGGTTCGTCTAAATCTAAAATGATCATTAGCTAAATATGTATTTTTAGCGGCAATTAATTAACGCTCTTTATATATGTTTCTAAGCCTTTAGCGACATTGATTCTAACGGCATTTAACTAAACCTTTATTAATGTCTATATTTATTGCCGCTAAAAGATGCTATTATGTCAGTACATGATCGAGAAATGCAAGTTCAACGTGAGAAAATAGTCAGTACTATGTGTGGGGGATTATATTAAAGACTAGTACACTATAATTTGCGTTTTTTTTTAATTCAATCAAATTTGACAAATTAAAATTAGATGAAACAATTACTTAAGTGGAGAACAAATAACTTTATAATAATTTATCATGCGATTTTTATATATTCTTGTTTATTCGGTAAAATTGAATAAACAACTTGACTATTTTAATAGTTTTACTACTTATGAAATTTATATTTATGAGAAAATACACAATATAAAAACTTCATATCACATATTTAAATAATTTTTAGTTTCTTCTCATGATTCCATTTCATGATATCATATCAATATACGAACCTTCGATAAAGAATTTTTAGCTTTTAAAAATCAAGCACTTGTAATTGACTACTAGTTCCTCTTCCTAATAATAATATATACTTTAGTTTCTTCTTGAAAGAGCAAGTAAAACACAAATAAAAGTTGAAAAAGTATTGTATATTATAAATATGCATTATGTGGTTTCTACTGTTTATATCCATTGAAAAAACTACAAGATAAAGTTGAAATAATTATTTATATATGATATAAGATAATAAATTTAAAATTATTATTTTATTTTCAATCAAATCAAAATAAAAATAAAAAAGAATTTCAAACTCTAAATTTTTATTTTCAAAAAGATCATTGACGGAACCTCGCCAAATGATCTATGGATACATCCCCTTTTTTAGTATTTTGAAATAAAAGTTATTTCCAAGAGAAAAAGTTGTTACAAAGTTTTGTCTTTTTATAATAATAGAATATTTCTATGACTAATTTAATATGCGTTGCGTATTCAATTACGACACTTTTAGTAGATTTGTAGTTTTATATAAATAGGGAAAATATATAAATATTCTTTTAATCTATGTCCGAAAAGAGATATATTTATATTATATTAATATTTTATTATTTATCTGAACTTATTTTATAAGTAATTTTTACTTCTTTTCGGCTTACGTGACACTAGTTTAAAAGAAAAAGTCAACCAGCGTTGAACCCACAAGATAGTGCCACGTAGGCCAAAAAGGGTAGAAAATTATTAATAAAATAAGTTCAGAGATAATAGGACCTTAGTATAATATAAATGAGGGGATAGTTGTGCATTATCTCATATAAATATAAATAAAGCCATGAAAATAATATACAACACGTAAATCTCTTTAAAATTAAAAATCCTTCAATGAATATGTGGTAAAATATTTAATTTGTATCAATATTGACACAAAATTTAAGAAAAAAATTAAAAACATAAATACAAGAATTTTTATAAATTTAACAAAAATACATAATTTTTTTTAAAGATAACAATGAAAGCACATCTGAATTATCAATTATTTTCTTTTTTTTAACCTAAACTTTCATCATGAATCGACTATCTGTTGTTCCCTTTTGTTATCCGAAGGATAATGATGATCCAGATAAGCAAAAGAAAAAAATTAATAGTTGAATTGTGTTTTATTACATAGATGGCCATAATTAAAGTGAAAAAATTGATAATCAAAATATGATATTGACTTAAAAAAAACAAATATTTTTCGACCATTAACGTAACTTTTCTTTTATTTACTTTTTTATAGATAAATCTCTAAACAGTATAAAAGTTTTTTCATTCTTACCAATAAAAGTCACTTTCTTTCAATGTACCTAAATTCTCTACTTTAATATAGTCTAACAAACAATCACACAAGTCGTTACTTTGCATTAAATTTGGCTAGAAGTCTACATCCAATTTTTCTATAAAAGATGGCTACCTATTTTTTTTCCCTACCCACTCGATCGGTGTTCGGAGCTAATATTAAAATTCTAATTACCTGTGCGCTTGAACTCATTCGAGATAACATTTTTAACATGATTTTTTTTTTGTATTTATTTTATTTCTACTATCTATTCTTTCGTCTTTAATCAAATATGTTAGATTTAAACTTTATTGGTACACATAGTCAACACTTTTGTTTAATAAATAAAGGTAGCCAATGTCACCAAAACTACACAAAGAGCTCTTCTTTCATTCACTCTATAAAAAAACAAGAAGTAACCATACAATGGCTACTTTAAAGGTATTGATGTTTCCATTTTTGGCTTATGGACACATATCTCCATATCTAAACGTAGCTAAGAAACTCGCGGATAGAGGATTCTTGATTTACTTCTGTTCAACACCGATAAATCTCAAATCCACCATCGAGAAAATCCCTGAGAAGTATGCTGATTCGATTCATCTTATCGAACTTCACTTACCAGAATTACCCCAACTTCCTCCTCATTACCATACCACGAATGGTCTCCCGCCAAATCTCAATCAGGTCCTTCAAAAAGCCCTGAAAATGTCGAAACCAAACTTCTCAAAAATCTTGCAAAATCTGAAACCTGATTTGGTGATTTATGACATATTGCAGCGATGGGCTAAACATGTCGCGAATGAACAGAACATTCCAGCAGTTAAGCTTCTAACTTCCGGGGCAGCTGTGTTTTCGTATTTTTTCAATGTACTAAAGAAACCAGGGGTTGAATTCCCATTCCCTGGAATTTATCTCAGGAAAATTGAACAAGTAAGACTGAGTGAAATGATGTCGAAATCTGATAAAGAGAAAGAACTGGAGGATGACGATGACGATGATGATCTTCTAGTTGATGGAAATATGCAAATCATGTTGATGAGTACTTCTAGAACTATCGAAGCCAAATATATCGATTTTTGCACTGCATTGACGAACTGGAAAGTTGTTCCAGTTGGTCCACCAGTTCAAGATTTGATCACTAATGACGTGGACGATATGGAGCTTATAGATTGGCTAGGAACAAAAGATGAGAATTCAACTGTTTTTGTCTCCTTTGGGAGTGAGTATTTCTTGTCAAAGGAAGATATGGAAGAAGTAGCTTTCGCGTTGGAGTTAAGTAATGTTAATTTCATATGGGTTGCAAGATTTCCGAAAGGTGAAGAGCGAAATCTTGAAGATGCATTACCAAAAGGTTTTCTTGAAAGAATTGGAGAAAGGGGAAGAGTTTTGGACAAATTTGCACCACAACCAAGAATTCTAAATCATCCGAGTACCGGAGGATTTATAAGTCATTGTGGTTGGAATTCAGCAATGGAAAGTATAGATTTCGGGGTTCCTATAATCGCCATGCCTATGCATCTTGATCAACCAATGAATGCTAGGTTGATCGTAGAACTGGGAGTTGCGGTGGAGATTGTTAGAGATGATGATGGGAAAATTCACAGAGGAGAAATCGCGGAAACTCTTAAAGGTGTCATAACAGGGAAAACAGGGGAAAAATTGAGGGCTAAAGTGAGAGATATTAGCAAGAATTTAAAAACTATAAGAGATGAAGAGATGGATGCTGCTGCTGAAGAGCTAATTCAACTTTGTAGGAATGGTAATTAGTGTATCTTATGATTCAAAGAAAATATCGAGGATGAAATAATGAGAAAAACATAGAATACCACGTAGGATTCAAATTACCATGTAGGATGCGTGTGTCTATTTGTTCAACTTTATACAAGTTTAAGTTTATATTCGTAAACGTGAGTTGAGGTCAAATTAAAGGGCATATTTATGTATTATGTCATTAATATAACTAGTACAACAATAACAACACAATTCTTTGTCCCAAACATTGTTGGTTTGCTATGTTTATTTCACATAAACATTACATCAACTATAATCAATCAGCATAAATGTCTACCTCCACGGAATTATCTAACAAAGCTATTGAATCAGACGATAATGTCGTAGAACTTTCCATGATCTGATGGACAATCGGTGGAGATTGAAGAGGCTGAGGAGGTACTTCTAGCGCTTCAACTTCGCCTTCAAGCATTTGTACTACTTTACTCATTGAAGGGCGTTGTATCGGATTTGTTTGTATGCACCATAACGCAACCAAACTCAGCTTTCTAGCCATCTTCTTTTCATCATCATTCGCTTCTTCATCTACCACAATCTCTTTCCCCTTGTTGAACTTATCGTAAATATTATAAGGAAAATATTGGCTGGAATTCTCTTCATTTGCAACTTCATTTCTATTCAAGTCCAACATTCCCATTAGCAGCATTCCGAAGCTGTAAACATCAGCTTTA